TACAAGTAGCAGCCGCATGGAGTGTAACTAGCTTGGTTTAGTTTTATTACAAGTAGCAGCCGCATGGAGTGTAACTAGCTTGGTTTAGTTTTATTATAAGTAGCAGCCGTATGGAGTGTAACTAGCTTGGTTTAGTTTTATTATAAGTAGCAGTCGTATGGAGTGTAACTAGCTTGGTTTAGTTTTATTATAAACTTCCGTTCACTGATCTACAAATGAACTATAAAATCAATTTGCAGCTTCCTATTCACGTGCATGGATCTGGCGGTTTAAAGTACAAAGGGCTAAGTGACTTAATGATACAGCACAAATGAAAAGTTAATTTGGAAACAAATTAAACATCATGGTAAAGATAAAGCGAAATTGGTTCTTCATAATAAATAATCGAATTCCAACGATAAAAAGAAAAACATAAACATAATACAAATCTTTAAATTGTTTTACAGTAATCCAGTAAGTTCACTTGAAACCTGCTAAAGAGTATATTATATACTATTAACAAGCGTCTTCATAAACTCAACCACAGACATCATAAAAACGTTCAACGCCATCTAACGTCGGCGCAAGTCAATCAACGATTTGTGTTCTTCAGTCACAGATCAGTTTGTGGAATAAAGTTGAAATATAACTACTGATTTATTATTATTATCTAATCTCTGAAAGCATTAAAAAAAAAATCGGGTACATGTTACCAGGTGGGAAGTTTTCCTAAATGGTTTTCAATAGAGATAAATAAACTTTTGCTCTGAAATCTGCTGAAGCTATAAACCACGGCTCAACCGAAGACGGCTAATCACAGCTCGCATGCACGTCTGCTGGGCGAATTCTGACATTCAACCGACGATGGAGGGGACTACCCCTGTTTCATTCCCCCTGACGGCCCGCAGGCACGGGACCTCCCAGGTAGACACGGGCCAGAACTATGCTGAATACTGGCTCACTGCACTGCTGGTACACCAAATTATACTGGCTCACTGCACTGCTGGTACACCAAATTTGGAAAAGCTGAATCACTTTTCTCTCGTGAATAAAATTCTTTGGCATATGCTTTCTTAGAGAGATTAATACTTATGTATATCTATATTTAACTAAGTACCACTCAGTTAGGTCAGTTTGTGTGCAACTGGTAACTGCAGCGCTTGTACTACTTTGGGTTAGGATAACTAAGTACCATTCAGTTAGATCAGTTTGTGTGCATCTGATAAATGCAGTGTTTGAACTACTTTGGGTTAGGATAACTAAGTACCATTCAGTTAGATTAGTTTGTGTGCATCTGATAACTGCACTGCTTGTACTACTTTGGGTTAGGATAACCAAGTACCATTCAGTTAGATCAGTTTGTGTGCAAATGATAAATGCAGTGTTTGAACTACTTTGGGTTAGGATAACCAAGTACCACTCAGTTAATTTGTGTGCACCTGGTAACAGCAGTGTTTGTACTACTTTGGGTCAGGATAACTAAGTACCACTCAGTTAATTTGTGTGCACCTGATAACAGCAGTGTTTGTACTACTTTGGGTTAGGATAACCTAGTACCACTCAGTTAATTTGTGTGCACCTGGTAACTGCAGTGTTTGTACTACTTTGGGTTAGGATAACCAAGTACCACTCAGTTAGTTTGTGTGCAATTGTTAACCGCAGTGTTTGTACTACTTAGGGTTAGAATAACTAAGTACCACTCAGTTAGTTTTTATGCAACTGGTAACCGCAGTGTTTGTACTACTTTGGGTTTGGATAACTAAGTACCACTCAGTTAATTTGGTAACTGCAGTGTTTGTACTACTTTGGGTTAGGATAACCAAGTACCACTCAGTTAGTTTGTGTGCAATTGTTAACCGCAGTGTTTGTACTACTTAGGGTTAGAATAACTAAGTACCACTCAGTTAGTTTTTATGCAACTGGTAACCGCAGTGTTTGTACTACTTTGGGTTAGGATAACAAAGTACCACTCAGCCTAAGAAACCAAAGTTGTTCAATAACACTTTCGAAGTCACTCCACAATAGAAGCATTTAGAACCAGCTTAATAAATGGAGATTTTTATAAATTAAGTACTCCCCATTTACTTATTAAACGTTTCTACTGCCAGCTAAAAGCTTTAAGCACTAAAAACGTAGGATTTTGGTGAAGTAAATAACCTTACTCCGTGGTGGCAAGTCACATTTTTGTAGAAGCCACGTGTTTTCAGTAACTGACCGTCTTTTAGTCAATCTCAGAAATATTGTCCGTGTAACTGCTAACAGTAAGTGAATAATTTATTATAAGCTCAAAGCTGCACAATGAGTTATTAACGCTGTGATCTGAGCATTCCATTACTTGCATGGGTATTCTGTCGTCTCATTCTAGTTTACAAGAAATTACTATATATATATATAATTATGTTGCTGAGAGAAATAAAAGGCCCAAAGTAAACTTAGGGCAATACAAGCTACTGGTTTTAGTCTGAGAAGTTCGGCTTTCAGCACTCAACCCAAAGGTATCCTTAAACAGGGGTGTTGTAACCTACCACTCCCACAAGTCCATCACCACGACGTTCCAAGCTCCGACCTGAAAGTATACAGTTCCTTGCACAGCTGGGAAATAGGAACAGGCGTGGTTATGGTCGGGACGAAATTCGTTCGTTTTTTTACTGTTTCCTTTATAACTCAATTAGCAAACACTTATTCTGAATTCCCTCCATCTACCCCTCCACCTCATACACACCCACCACAGATGGACTGTCTCACACACTTAACCTGAAATACTGATTTTCATACATGATAGGATGTAGTAGTTTCTTATGGTGTTCACTTGTGTTCAGAATTAGATACTGGCTTGATTATGTATGTATATATATATATATATATATTTGTTTGTTGTTACTCACATAGCTACACAATGAGCTACTCGTGCTCTGTCCACTACGGGTATCGAACCCGACTATCAGCATTATAAGCCCCATACTTACTGGAGTTGTCATTATTTACAAACATATATATAACACATTTACGCATACATTCATCACAGTTGTTATGAAATGCTAAACGTGGCCCTGAGAGATAATTTTAAGGCATTTTGTGCGTATGTCTGCTTATGTTTAAATGATGTTGTTCTCATGAGATAGAAATATAAGCCTTTGAAAGTTTCATCACGTGTCGCTATCCGCCATTAGGTATAAATTATCGGGGATGATTACTTTTTTAACGACTCTGAGCCTCCATAAACACAGACAAAAAAACTTTTCACTGTAAATAACGAAAAAAAGAAAAAATGTTTTAATGATTTTTTCCTAGAGCAGGGAGTGGAGAACCTGAGTCATGGAGAGGGATAAGTGGGAGGAATTGATTTACCACCCTCCAGTTACAACAATTTGTAAAACGTCGTCCTCACATGGTAGGTAGCCTTTGAGCGCTATCCAGTGTATATTTTTCTCTTTTCACACCCCCCCCCCCAAAAAAAAACTTATAACAAATTCACTTCTGATATTTTGTTTATCTTAAAGAATATTACTATTTTCTATCATTGGAAAACATATTAAAATATTTTATATTTATGAAACATAGCTTGACATTTTGTTACTGTTTACAAATACTTACGGGATAACAACGGGAATTTCAGGCCCAACAAGTGTAGATCCCTCCCAGAAACAATCTAGCGGAGTGATAATGGCACATGGAAATAAATTTTCTAAAATCTGCAAAACAAAAAAAAAACAGCAACATACTTTTATCAATACACATAAAGAGAGTAATAGTTCTAAATATGAATTAGGTCACTCGGTAATTTCAAGTTTAAACATAAACTTATATTTTGAGAGATCTTTTGTTTGCGTAGTTTATTTTATTTTCAACGATTTTGTTAGTTAGTTTGTTTGTAATTTAGCACAATGGGCTATCTGTACTCTGCCCACCACGGGTATCGAAACCCGGTTTCTAGTGTTGTAAGTCCGCAGACATACCGCTGTGCCACTGGGGGGGGGCATTTTCTAAAAAAAACTAATATTAAGATGTAAAACATTTTAGAACGGGAATCAGAGGAGTCGCTAGGTGCTTAAAAGATTTGGGGCTCAGGCCCAAAGTTGTGGAAATTTTCGGCGTTTCAGTAGATATCGATCGTGGTTTTCTATTCTGATTTTTCAAGACATCAAGTGTAGATCTAGGGCACGGTCCCCGTATGCTAGCGACGCTTCTAGCGGGAATTGAATACCAGAAAGTGAGCTTTTTCGCTCGAACAAGAATAACAACTGCTGAAGATACCAGTACAAGATTTCCCGAGAACGACGACTTTTCAAACAATTCTGCGTAATATTCTTTTTTTGGGGGGAGGGGAGCAAATAACCAGTAAATAGAAAGAAAATTAACGACTCGATTGTTTATTATTTCTATTTTTTCAACTATCACGTTAATAATTTATTATTTTTTAACCAAATTGTTTTGCTTGCCGTACAGGAGGAACACGCGTACTGTTTATAAGGTAAAGGCGCCAAAATTCAACATAATTTTAAACAATTTGGGTTTTATTATAGAAAAGTTTCGAGAACATGAGTGAAATCACATTTAAAATGACGTTTGAAGTAAAATTTCTACTTACAATGAACGGGAATTTAATTTTTTCTTTTCATTTTATAATAAGTAGAGAGAACAATGTTATAATTTTTTCGGTGGGTTTTGTTTTTAGTTAAGCACAATGGGCTATCTGTGCTCTGCCCACCACGGGTATCGAAACCCAGTTTGTAGCGATGTAAGTATGCAGATATACCACTGTGCCACTTGGGGGCTTGTTTGTAGTTAAGTTGTTTGCTGTGCCCATCACGGGTATCGAAACCCGGTGTTCAGCATTATAAGCCATCATACTTAGCACTGATGGGCTTTTCGGTGGGAGTAGTGTGTTTGTATGTGAATAATGTTAACCGCACTGGGCAGAAATATCGCTTTCAATAACGTACGTACGCAAATGTGAAGGCAGTGTTTTGTTTGATAAAAACTTACACGTAAACTCAAGCACATACATTGAGGTCTTAAGGCAGAAAACTGTACGTGTAAGAGAAAGTAACATATACATGTATCGACATCGTAATAAATGTGTTTAACTTAAGTCTTCTGTTAACGGTGTGTTTAATAACAACCATGTTAGCAGATTGTGATGACGTGTAAGTATCTTGTGTAATAACGAAGAAAGATTATGAAGAAAAAAAAACACATGATAAAAATGGTATCAACTTACTTGTTCTACGTAATGCGCGTCAAACTTAGGAATACTAGGTGAATAACAAAGATCCTTTAGCCTCCACGATCTGAAAGCAAGAAATGAAAGAATATTTTATGAACAAACCGTCACTTGTTCACAACTTTAAGTCTCACGTGCTTTAAAGCACGTACAATCAGTTTTGACGTCAGCTGACGTCACACAACGGAGCATGTTCATTTTTCCCCCCTTTTTTCTTTTTAAAATTAATGCCAACTGAAGTTTGATAAAGAATTACAGCTACACTTTGTAGGAAGGGATACTGTGAGAATTATTTTCTAAGACACATGTGTGTATATATATAATTTTTCTCTTTATTTTAGTGTACACACCATAAAGTCTACATTCACTCTGATTTCTTTATTTACGCACCTTGTGCTACTGTATATTAAAAATAAAATATTTCTGGCACAATGAAAGCTAAGCTATTATTTGTTTCAGCTGACTAGTTTCGGTAACACAGTTACCATCATCAGGTGTAGTGACTACAGTGTTAGCTTAGCCAGCACCAATAAAGAGTTTAAACTACATTGTGACAAAAAAACGTCAATTTTGTTTTTATTATTAACATAATATCCATGTTCAATCTGTTGGAGTGTTTTGTTATTATACGGTCAGGGGAAAAGGGGACGGCAAAATATAATTTCGTAAGCAAGAAATCTTGCGGATTTAGCCAAGGTTTTTAAACCTCAACGACAAGGAGATAAAAGTGTTTTAAATTGAACAAAACGGGATCATTTGTTACCTAACTATGAAACGTTTGCATGAATCATCAAGAGTTGGTTGTTAATAAAAAATATATATATCGAATTATTTATCCTCCACCAATAGAAACAGATAACAACTAATATATTCAATACAGTGATGTGTTTATCCTACACCAATGGAAACAGATAACAACTAATATATTCAATACAATGATTAATTTATCCTCCACCAATAGAAACAGATAACAACTAATATATTCAATACAATGATGTGTTTATCCTACACCAATGGAAACAGATAACAACTAATATATTCAATACAATGATGAATTTATCCTACACCAATGGAAACAGATAACAACTAATATATTCAATACAATGATGAATTTATCCTGCACCAATGGAAACAGATAACAACTAATATATTCAATACAATGATGAATTTATCCTGCACCAATGGAAACAGATAACAAATAATATATTAAATACAATGATGTATTTATCGTGCACCAATGGAAACAGATAACAACCAATATATTCAATACAATGATGTATTTATCCTGCACCAATGGAAACAGATAACAACTAATATATTCAATACAGTGATGTATTTATCCTACACCAATGGAAACAGATAACAACTAATATATTCAATACAATGATATATTTATTTTGCACCAATGGAAACATAATTACAATAGCCGTGTGGTAACACGAACAATTTTAAAACTGTTTTGTTTTGCTTCTGAAGCAACTCTAACAAATGAATCAAGATATAACAACCACATTTAACCTTTTATTAAACATTTTATTATTATTCAAGAAGCAGGTAATCCACTAAGATCGGTTTAAGATACACTTACACGCCAAACATCTCGACAGTGACTTGAGTGGCTGCGCGCACTGCGTACAAGTGCAGCATAAGAGCATCGACGTGAAGAACGTTAGCTCCTTGCTCCTTAGGAGTCTGGATGATTAGTTGATGAGTGCTTCCAGAACCTTCTCCTAAGGTACTTCTGATATACCTCAACTCCTTTTCCAGACGCCCTCCCTCTGGAGAAAATGAAAATTTACGTTAATTACACGACGAGAAAATAATGGTTAACGTGAATGTCAAAATGTTGGCTAAGCACTCTCCCCCTTACAAATTCTTTGGTATTGTGCCACGATTAATTAAAGAAAGTTATTATTTATAAAACCTTGGGCTCAAATTCTTCTTCTTCCTTTTTTTTTAAATTGAATAGTTTTCCCGATTTACAGATTAATTATTTATGCTGTGTATCTTATAAACGTAGATTACTGATGCTATATACAAAATATTACTAAAGAAAATTCTCTTGATAACTGGATACATATATAATTTGTATTGGCCAATCCATGCAAATAAAATGTGACGTCACCGAGACAAGGTTAAAGGAATAAATACTCTTTCGACGATTAAAGTTTAAAAATGTTGGATAAATTGTGCAACCATGCTTCTTTTGTACTTTTTCTGTGCTAAAACTTCGTTCTAGTTAGGGCTAGTAATTTCACCGAAAGGAGGCCAAAGTGAGTGATCACCTGTTTTAACCAGTGTGTTGTCTGTCTGTCAGTCAGTCAGAATACACTAAAATGACGTCACATAAGGGATATGCTTAACGTTGCAATTTGTACTGTCGTGACGTCAGTAAAACGTACGCATGCCATGAATCACAAGAAGAATTATGCACTCTGAATTATGACACATAAACTTCAAAAGCAAACAATAAAAATATTTGTTACTCTTAATTTTGGTCTTATTTACTCTTGAAACAGAACACTTTCGGTGACCCTATGGAAGTATATCTATTATTTTACAAAACACACGTAACAACGTTAGAGTGAACGACTTCGATGTTTGATTAATATCATAGCTTAAGAGAATGGCCCAGTACTGCCACCTGCACCAATGGGGAATGAAAACAGATAACAATTAATACAGCCAATGAATAAATGCAAATCGGGGATGAAGTGTTTTGTAATTTTGTAAAAACCTATACAATTTGAATCTATAAATCAGGTATAATAAAAAAAACAAATGTTTTAATTAGCAGTGGAATATTGAAAATTTCACAAACAAAATACAATCTTAAAAGGTGGGAAAAGTATTATTAATCGAAGGCATTACGAGAAATGCTCTGGAAGTCTCCTATGTAGTTTTATAGTTCTTCTAAGCATATGCGTAACTTTCACGTGGACGTACAACCCCACCCCCACACCCCGAATTTTTCAAAGAAATATTAAGTTTTTATGATAGAATAACATCATGCATATCCTAGCTACAGCAACTGCCCTCCGCCACGAAACCAAAGTTACGCCACTTTTGAGGCCACTGACTATTTCATGAGATTTAATGCTGGAAAATGGGATATGTGGGTCCTCAAAAAAAAAAAATTATTTTGCTCAACCATTTATACCGGGAATCGAGTATAAAACTTTTCTGTATCAGTTTTAGTTTCAACTTTCATCTGTTGAAACGACTTAATAGAAAAAAGCAAACAAAAACTTTCTAATAAATGAGAATGTTGACGTCTTTGCAATGTTTATTTTTTGTATGTCCAGTTGCAATATCTAAGGTCTCAGCACAAAACACACACAAAAAAAGACTGTTTGTTTGGAATTAGGCACAAAGTTATGCAATGATTTATGTGTACTCTGTCCACCACGGGTATCGAAACCCGGTTTCTAGCCTTGTAAATCCGCAGACATGCCGCTGTGCTACTGTGGGGGGGGGGTAATAAAAAACAAATAAAAAAGTGAATACGCGGAGATATTCAAGCCTAAATGAGCGCCATCTATTTTTCTGACTTAAATAATTCTTATCTCAGTTTCATTCCATATTTTTCTATTCCTTAAGTTACTTTTCTCAATCGCACCCTAAAAATTTGAGCTACGTGTTCTTAAACTTGTCATAAAATTATGATTATTTACGTCGTCAATTTTTATAACCCAGAAACTTGAATAGCATAAAAATGAATACCATTAAAGGATGATCGTGACATTAGTGGCCGTAAACGGGCCAAGTACCTATAACATAATAACAGTTTTATGTATATATAAATCTTCAACAAATTTCCACAAGGAGAAAATTACCGAGAAAATAGAAAGTCTGATCGTTTCCTAACTGCGTCATAAAGAAAAAAACAACATACATACACACACACACATGCAAAAACAAATCAAATAAAAAAAACGCGATGTTTTAATGAGGACAACGTATTACAAAAAACGCGATGTTTTAATGAAGACAACGTATAACAAAAGGAGCTCGTGAACACGGTTCTAAAATGATTAAATGGCCAATACAAGCACTAAAAAAATCATAAAATCCTACAACTTATAAGTAGCTCTTAAATCAATTCTGTTAACCAAATCTATTAACTATAAAAATCGCTTATTTAATGTTTAGAAACTCAACAAGAAAAAGTAAAAAAAAATTAAAACTACTATATTATAATTAGTGAGAGGAAAGTCGTTATAAACCGTTTCAGAACTAACTACCTGATACAGTAACTCTAGCGGTTAATTTTGAAGCAATAGACTAGAGGGTAGGCAGCAACACCACCTACCGCCAACTTGTGGGCTACTCTAATCGAAAAGATGGATTTAATTGTCACACTCATCAGGCACCCACAGCCCCAAAGTGTAGGGCGCGATTTTTTTTTAGCGGTAACGGAACCCGCAGTGTTTATTAAATATATTAAAAATGAACTATTGTTTTATAAAATTATGGGGATATATACAAAAATGGGGCTTAAGTTTTTTTTTTTTTCTTTTTTAGAATGCCGGGTTTAGAAGAATAAAAGGCGTTTTTTTCGCAAATATTGAAGGTTAAACTTAGATACAAATCTTAGTGCATAAGAAAATAAATATCAAGAATAAAAAACAAAGTAACACCATTCTCGTTCTTTGAGTTTTACTTCAAACTGTACAAATGGAAGATTAACAAAGATCCAATGGATCTGGAACTTCCACACTTTAATTATTAAGTGACTATTTAAAAGTTTTGTATATTGTTAGCGCCAAAAAAAACCAGTACATACGTTTCTGTAGAATGTGGACGGGGGGGGGGGGGGCTTTGTTATGTATTCCTCTGATTGACTTATCTGTTTTAAATACCATTCTTTTCTTTACCTGTAGAATGCAGTAAGACATATTAACTCTGTAATTGCTAATCTGTCTATCTATTACATGAACCAGTAACAAGTAAAAAGTTAATAACGACGCACGTGTTTCAGTGAGTTTAAGTAATGTACATAATAGACTAAATTACCTATAAAAACACCATTCACAGCAAGCTATAGATATATTCTCGACTATACTTTTTTCATTGTTATTATCTCAGAAATATATATATTCGACATTACGACTTACAAAATATAATCAATTTCATCAATCATACACAAGAGAACACGATAAACCCCGTCAAATTTAGGAAATTAATACTGCTCTCAGCATTTGATTTATTAATTTCGCGCCATTCCTAAGTTCATCATTCTAATTATAACTGCAACAAACGGAATCATTACATAGCTATGCTGCAGGCGTTGTAGCAATTACTTCTAAAAGTAATATATACAGACTATTAATATAACACGTGACTAGAAGTTTTTTAAAGCTAGAACTATACCGACAAGCCGATTCTTATCTATTAATCAGGTGCTGATAGGATGGCACCGTCAGTAAAGTTGGGCAGGTTATGTTATGATGAATAAAAGGTAAGTTGTAAAAAAAACTGTCGCGCCTTAAATTTACAAGCTACATTCCAGCTAGAAAAATAAACAATAAGCCATTATAACTATACACATATTACTGAAAGGTTAAAGAAAGGAATTTTCAACACAGCTTAAATTTTCCCCAAGTTATGGCACCAAGTAAATGTTCATGTCGAACATCGTTTCTTTGTTAGACTGTCTGTAACAGATGCTCAAGTAGTTTCAGTTCCTAGCCTGAAATCACAAATTGGTTCTGTTTGGCGGTTGATTTGGTCATTCTGATGTTTCCAGAATCTTGATGCATTTTACGTGTTAGAATACAAATGCAATTTAACGACGCTGCTGTCCTCTGGGTTTTTTAATGTTTTTTCTTCTTCTTATTATTATGGTGCTAATTGTGTCTCGAAAAATATTTACTATTCATTTCGAAACTATGATTCTTAAAAGTTGTTACTTTAGCTAAATACAAACTGCAATATTAAACAATTCCCGTCAACGTAATACTCCACTCACTCAGAGTTCGTGTGCAGTTTGTTTATTTTTATTACATGATCGGATTAAATAATTTATTTCTCGAAATACACCACAGATACATTATATGGGGTTAGTTCAAACAATAAAATAGTTATGGAACGCATTATCTCAGTAGTAAGCAGGCCCAGTTAGATTATTCTGGTTTCTAGAGGCTATTATTCCAAAACCTGATACTAACAACCATTATTCTATGTTTAATTAAGCTTTTATTCCCCCTAGTGGCAAGCACGCGCAACAATAGATATTTCGCGTCTTAGACCTATCAACGGTGAGCATGTGTTAGTATTCTTGAGGCAGGCACTGATCGCCCCAGACCTCGAATTGTATCTTTATCTCTGCTTATAAAGCTGTGACTGCATTTATTCGCCAGTCAAATTGCACTGCACCACCAATCTGTTCGTTCCCTTTTACCACGTTGTTTACTGAAAAAAAAAGGGACATTAAGTATTAAAAAAAGATTGGGGAGAGGGGAAGGTGAAACGTTGTGGGTGGTATAGTTAATTACACGTTTCAGCGTTCCAGAACTAAGTCATAACAGCATGTTTGTTGTGATATTGTAGTCAGTCTGCCAAACAGAGGTCGTACATCTTTTTTCTTCTGTTTTTTGTGTGGATGGTCTGTCTTATCTCACATATTTTCATCCAAACCACATACAACATAAAATGCCCATATTAGTGATTCTTTTGGGACTATACTACATAGTTTCAACCAAAAGAAAGGTTGAGAATTGCCGGATGAATGGCTTCTTTTCGACAGGTATATTGCAGATGGCGCTGCAATTAATTT